CCGGCTACTCGGAAGGCTGAGGCGGAAGGATCGCCGGAGCCCAGCAGGTCACGGCTGCGGTGGCCGGGAGCGGCCACTGCACTCCAGTCTGGGCGACTGAGACTCCAACTCAAAAAATAAAAATAAAAATAAAATACCAATAGAAAGTATAATATAGTAAATACAACAACCAGTAACATCATTGTCTGTTATCGTTATCAAGTACCAAATACTGTACTTACTTGCATTGCTAGACTTGCAAACAGTGGGCAACCTTGTAGGTGTGTTTCCACCAGCACTATCATGAACACATGAGTAACGTGCTGCTGTGACATCAGACAGCACAAGGCAGTAGGAACTTTAAGTTCCATTACAATCTCTTGGGACCCCCGTCATATGTGTGGGCTGTCATGGACCTAAATATTAGTGTGTGACTCATGACTGTACACTGTTCAGTTAGGGAGCTGATTTTACAGCCCCCAGACAAATTAAGGTTTCGTTTCTTTTTTTGAGTTGGGGTCTCACATCCAGGCTGGAGTGCAGTGACATGATCATGGGTCACCACAGACTCAACCGCTGGGCTCAGGTGATCCTCCCTCCTCAGACTCCTGAGTAGCTGGGATTACAGGCAAGCACCATCATGCTCCAATCATTTTTTTTTTTTGGTAGCAATGAGGTTTTGCTATGTTGCCCACACTGCTCTTGAACTCCTGGGCTCAAGTAATCCTCCTGCTATGGTCTCCCAAAGTGCTGGGTTTATAGATATGAGCCCAAGAGTAAATTTATTCTTTTTTTTAAATAGTGTTTTTGTTTCTTGGGTGGGGTAGGAATTTCACTCTGTCTCCCAGGCTGGAGTGCAGTGGCATGCTCATAGCTACCACAGCCTCGTCCTGCTGGGCTCAGGCAATCCTTCTGTCTCAGCCTTCCAAGTAGCTGAAACCACAGGCATGCGCCACCACACCCGGCTCATTTTTTGATTTATTATAGAGACAAGGTCTCGCCAAGTTGCCCAGGCTGGTCTCGACCCCCTGGACTCAGATAATTTTCTTGCCTCGGCCTCCCAAAGTGCTGGGATTATAGGTGTGAGCCACTGTCTCTGGCTAGTGTTTTTCTTTTTGGAGATAGAGTTTCACTATATTGCTCAGGCTGTCCTCAAACTCTTGGGCTCAAGCAATCCTCCCACCTCAGCCTCCTGAGTAAGGGGACTATAGCAGAACACCACTGCACCCAGCTCTGGAGTCAATTTATTCCTAAATGCTTCTCAGGCTTCTGCTCAAACTTCTGTCTTGAAGCTTTGGTCACCATCAGATGTCCCAGTATCTGTATCCAAAACCGAAGCCTCCTCATTGACAACCAGAAGGAAAACACAGATGTGAGGAAGGCCCTAAATTTTAACTAAAGAGACTCAGCAGAGGAAGAGAGCTGGACCAGCTGTGAGGGTTTAAATCCTAGCTACGTTCTCCAGACCTCGACTTGCACAGTTATCTAGCTTCTCCGCACCTTGGTTTCCTTACCTGCAAAAGTCCTAACTTAGAGGGTTGCTGTAAAAATTAGCAATAAAGAGGGGGCACCCAAAACGCCAATAACTTGTCTATAAAAATTGTGTATGGGGCCAGGCTTGGTGGCTCAGTCTGTAATCCCAGCACTTTGGGAGGCCGAGGCAAGTGGATTGCCTGAGCCTGTGGGCAACTTGACGAGACCACGTCTCTACAACAAATAAAAAAATTAGCCGGGCATGGTAGTGCGCACCTGTAATTTCGGCTACTTGGAAGGCTGAGGTGGAAGGACTGCCTGAGCCCAGCAGGTCAACGCTGAGGTGGCCGTGAGCATGCCACTGCCCTCCAGCGTGGGCAACAGAGTGAGACTCCAACTCAAAAAAAAAAATTGTGTTTGTATTCTCACATTTTTAAGCTTCAGTCACCTTCAAAGTCCTCTCTGTTGGATACGATACACCTATCCAGATGCTTTTTCCACTGCTCAAGACAGTTTTTGAACTTGTCAATTTTGATGCCTTTCAATACTTCTGCCATTTTTTGGTTTCATCTCTCCCACACTTATAACAGGTTTCCCTTGGAGGACTTTTTTCATCTGGGGAAACAGAAAAAATTCACCCAAGATTCGCTCAGGGCAAGATTGGGTGAATAAGGGAGGGTGGGCACAGGGGTCATACTGTTTTTGACCAAAAACTGCTGAATGCTCAGCGCGGTGTGGGCAGGTACATTGTCATGGAGGAAGAACCAGTCACCTGTTTGCCACAACTCAGAATGTTTCTTCCACAAATCGTGGCACCACCTTCTCAAAACTTCCAGATAAAAACTTTGGTTGAGCCGGGCTCAGTGGCTCAGCCTGTAATCCTGTGCCTTTGGGAGGCCGAGGTGAGTGGATTGCCTGAGCCTGCGGGTTCAAGACCCGCCTGGGCAACTTGGCAAGACCTCATCTCTACAATAAATCAAAATGAGCCGGGCATGGTAGCATGCACCTGTAGTTCCAGCTACTTGGAAGGCTGAGGCGGAAGCATCGCCAGAGCCCAGCAGGGTGACTGAGTAAGACTCCAACTCAAAAAAAAAGAACAAAAAAAGCCAGACTCGGTGGCTCAGCCTGTAATCCACGCCTTTGGGAGGCTGAGGTGAATGGATTGCCTGAGCCCGCGGGTTCGAGACCCGCCTGGGCAACTTGGCGAGACCTCATCTCTACAATAAATCAAAAATTAGCCGGGCTTGGTAGCGCGCACCTGTAGTTCCAGCTACTTGGAAGGCAGAGGCGGAAGGATCGCCGGAGCCCAGCAGGTCGAGGCTGCGGTGCCCGGGAGCGGCCATTGCCCTCCAGTCTGGGTGACAGAGTGAGACTCCAACTCAAAAAATAAACAAACAAAAAACTTTGGTTGGCCATTTGATCCAGAGGAACGAATCCCGAGTGTGCTACAAGGTGCCTGTCCCTCAAAAGATAATTCTGGGTTTAGGGGGAGTCCCTCTTGCATGCATTGTGGCTAGCACACTGCCTGGGGCATAGCTAGCTTTTTGAAATGTTGTTGCTGTTGTCAGTGAATGAGTCCATGGGGTAGGCGAAGGTTCTTTGTTCTTCCTTCCATTAGTCCTCTGGTCCCCTGCTTACCATTCAAAGTCCTTTCCCTTTATGGGGGTCACCCAGCCTTTGTTCCCTTGCTTTCTCCTCCCCCCATCCAGGACAACCAGGCTCTTCACAGAGGAGTCCACATCCCTAAGGGGGATACCAACACGTAGCAGGATGTGTACAAAACCCCAGGATGAGCACCATCCTCACCCTGGCCTCTCATCAGCTTTCCTTGGGAGAGAATCCATCATTATATAATTGTGTCCAGAGCCCAATTTCCACAAAATATTAAGATCAAGGCATGAGAACTCAATAGTCTACGTTTGCCAGGTTTAGTGTCTCATGCCCATTATCTCAGCACTTTGGGAGACCAAGGCAGGAGGCTTGCTTGAGCTCAGTGGTTTGAGACCAGCCAGGACAGCATACCAAGACTCTGTCTCTACAAAAAAATTCAAAATTAGCCCAGGGTGGTGGTACATGCCTGTAATCCCAGCTACTTGGGAGGCAGAGGTGGGCGGATCGCGTGAGCCCAGGAGTTTGAGGCTGGAGTGAGCTATGATCACATCACTGCACTGCACTCCAGCCTGGGCAACAGAGCAAGACCTTGTCATAGATAGATAAATGATAGATAGATAGATAGTCTAAGAGTGTGCATCTTTGCTGTTACAAGCACTTTGGAGGGGGAAAAAAACATAGAAATCCCACATTAAGCGATAATTGTAACAGCTACTATGGACTGAACACTTCCCCAAACTACCATGTGTGAACACGGTGACCATCTCTAATTCAAAATGCTCCAAAGTCCAAAACTTTCTGAGCACCGACATGATGCTCAAAGAAAATACTCATTGGAGCATTTTGGATTTCAGATTGTTAGATTAAGGCTGCTTAGCCAGGTAAAGATGATGCAGATATTCCAAAAATCCCAAAAAATCTGAAATCAGAAACACTCCTGGTCCCAAGCATTTTGTATAAGGGATACTCAACCTGGATGTATATGTTACCTTGCTTATGGCTAAGCACAGCCCTTTTGCAGATGAGGAAGGAGCCGCCCAGAGAGGTTAAGGGACTTGTGTGACGTTGCACTGCTAGGAACAGTGTTTACACCCAGCTGTGTTTCGCCCCAACGTCTGTGCTCTGAAACGTTACTCTGTCCTGTCTTCTCTGATGATGTTCTCAAGGAAGAACTCCTCAACACTGCAGCTTAAGGAATTACTATCCAAAGCTACAATTACGACAGTAGGAACAATTTGGAGGCAAGGCTGGCTTCTCTGGAACTACATCTGCGTGGTGTGCACCCATTTCCTCATTCAGCAAATTTGTATTAAGTTCTTGCTCCACACCAGACATAGGGATCCGAAAGGTCTAGGGAGTGGCTGGGCCAGGAGTGAGAAAGAGAAGCCACGAAACATTATTCTCATAATCTGTTTCCCATTTAATCTTCAAACTTTACCCTATGAGTGAGTTCCTGTCATTACACCCATTGTAGATAAAACAACTGAGGAACAGAGAAGGAGGTGGTGTTAGGTCAAGGCTCCTACACCAGCAGGAATTGAACCTAGATAATGTGACGATAAAGCCCAAGTTCATAATCCAGTCTGTCATCTCCCCAAATTGGATAATGAGCCCCTGGTCGTTAAATATTGACTGTAGCACTTGCTTTTCGTGCAGTGTTTCAAAATCTTTCTGATGCCTAATCAGCTAGGTACATGTGTGATTTTGTGGTTATTCCGCAAGAAGCATGCAGGTCTGATTGTATTCACCTACTGAGATAAAAACTCTGCTACCATTGCCCACAGTCCTATTATTAACAGAGTTAAAACTGCTAGCAGGCTTTTGCACTGGGCTCCGAGGGAACGGTGGGGCTTCAAAATAAACATTCACCGGGATGGAAAATATTGGTTCCCTTGCTTGCAGTTTTTGGCTTATTTATTTTCGTTTTATGGGAACAGGCCTGTCAACCCTAAATGCATCTGGCTCTAGCAGAGGAAAAGAAAGGAAAAGCAGGAAGTCCATTTTTGGCAACAATCCGGGCAGAATGAGCCCAGGGGAGACAGCATCGTTTAACAAAACATCTGGAAAAAGTAAAGTCACCTTCTTACAATGTCTTTGCTTGATTCTGCATGCTGGATGATTCAGACATTTTACCGCCAAAGCACGTTCCTTGCATTTCTAAATTCTTTTGTTTATTTCCATGAACGTACATATCTTCTAAGTGTAGTATAAGTTCTTTAAAATCTCTCATTTACACTCTTAACTTACTAGAAATAGCATTTCGCTTAAGATGTCCTAACAGTGTTTGCCTCAAATGTAAAAGTTGGAGGCACCTTGGAACATTCTAGTAGTTTCTTGGAACTGCTCTCTTCACCATTATAACTCCTGAAGATATATCTATTTTATTTTGAGCTACTTCTTATTATGAAAGTCATCAATCTTCCTAGTTAAAAAAACTCGAGCAATGCATAGCATTATTAAAATTCCTTTCCACTCTCAGTGTCCTGGTGCTCCTCCCCAGAGGTAACCACTGTTAAGTTTATTGTGTTTTGTTCAAAAAAAATAAGATCCCCTTAAAGATACTCCAAATGGGATACAGGCATACCTCAGAGATATCGTGGGTTCCCTTCCAGACCACTGTAATAAAGCAAGTGTCACAATACAGCAAGTCGCATGAATTTTTTGATTTCTCAGTGGGTATAAAAGTATGCTTATACTATACTGTGGTCTGAGTGTGCAGTTAGCACTGTGTTTAAAAAAAAGCAAAGTATATGCCTCAATTAGAAATTCATACCTTAATTAGAACTTCTAGCCTCATTGATAGACTCTTCCTTTTATGGAAGATTTCTCTAGCATGCAATGGGGTTAGACAGCATTTTCTCCACAGTAGAACTTCTTTCAAAACTGGAGTGCATCCTCTCAGACTGGGTCGCTGCCATTGTCAACTAAGTTTATGTCACATTCCGAATCCTTTGTCATCATTTCAACAATGTTCATAGTGTCTTCACTTGGGATAAATTCCATCTCGAGAAACCACTTTCTTTGTTCATTTATAAGAAGCAACTCATCTGTTCAAGGTGTATCGTGAGATTGCAACAATTCATTCCCATCTTCAGGCTTCACTTCTAATTCTAGCTCTCTTGGTATTTCCGCCACGTCTGCAGTGACTTCCTCCAATGAAGTCTTGAGCCCCTCTGAGTCATCCATGAGGTTTGAAATCCACTTTCCCCAAACTCCTGTTCATGTTGCCCCATTTTGACCTCCTCCCATGAGTCACAAATGTTCTTAATCACATTTAGAATGGTGAATCCTTTCCAGAAGGTTTTCCATGTTCCTTTGCCCAGATCCATCAGAGGAATCACTATCTATGGCGGCTATAGCCTTCAAAATGTGGTTCTTGATCCTTTTGTAATTCATACGTATGATGACTGGGTGTTCACATGCATGTGTGAGACGTGCCACCCTCAAACTTTGTTATATAAAGTCAGCACATTACTCATCTATGACATGCCAAAAAATCTATTTCCTAAAAAGACTTAAAAGTTGAAATTACTCCTTGCACCATAGGCTGCCAACGGGATGTTATGAGAGCAGGCATGAAAGCATTAATCTCTTTGCACGTCTCTATCAGAGCTCTTGGGTGATCAGGTGCATTGCCAATGAGCAGTAATATGTTGAAAGGAATCATTTTTTCTGAGCAGCAGCTCTCAACCAGTAGGCTTAAAATATTCAGTAAACCATGCTGTAAACAGATGTGCTATCATCCAGGCCTTGTCGTTCCATTTCTAGAGCACGGGCAGAGTAGATTTACAATAATTCTTAAGGGCTATGGGGTTTTTGGAATGATCAGTGAGCACTGGCTTCAACTTAAAGTGACCAGCTGCTTTAGCCCCTAATAAGAGAGCCAGTCTGTCATTTGAAGATTTGAAACCAGGCATTGACTTCTCCTCTCTAGCTATGAAAGTCCTAGATGACAACTTCTTCCAAGAGAAGGTTGTTTTGTTTACATTGAACATCTATTGTTCATTGTAGCCACATTCATCAATGGTCTTAGCTAGATCTTCTGGAAAACTTGCTGCAGCTTCTCCATCAGCAATGGCTACTTCACTTGCACTTTTATGCTGTGGAAATGGTTTCTTTCCTTAAACCTCATAAACCAACTTCTGCTAGATTCCTACTTTTCTTCAGAAGCTTCCACACCCCTTTTAGCCTTCAAAGGTTTGAAGAGAGTTAAGGTCTTGCTCTGGTTTAGGCTTTGGTTTAAGGGGATGTTGTGGCTAGTTTGATCTTCTATCCAGACCACTCAGACTTTCTCTATATCAGCCATAAGGCTGGTTCGTTTTCTTATCATTCATGGGTTCACTGAAATAATACCTTCACTTTCCTTCGAGAACGTTTCTTAGCATTCACAACTTTGCTAATTTTTTGGTGCAAGAGGCCTCGATATTGGCCCTTCTCGACTTTTGACATGCCTTCCTCACTAAGGTTACTCCTGTCTAGCTTTTGATTTTCTTTCCCTTGAACACTGAGAGACCATTAAAGGGTTATTAATTGGCCTCATTTCAATACTTGCATGTCTCAGCAAATAAAGGAGGCCCGAGGATAGGAAGAGAGACAGGGGAACGCCTGGAGGAGGGGGCAGTCAAAACACTCACATTTTTGGATTAAGTTCACAATTTGAGTGTGACCTGTGACACCCCAAAACAAGTATAATAATTGTATTAAAGATGGCTAATCCCAGATCACTGTAAAAGATATAATAACGATGAAAAAGCTCAAAAGATTGCAAGAATAATAACCAAAATGTGACACAGAGACACAAAGTGAGCACAGTCTGTTGGAAAAATGGTGCAAAGTGACTTGCTCGAGTTGGGGTTGCCAGAGACCTTCAATTTGTCAAAAACACAATGTCTGCAAAGTGCGGAGAAGTGAAATACAATAAAATGAGGTATGCCTGTATCACCAAACATACTTGAATAGCTGTTATACTTGCCTAACTTTTCACAAAACCTCTATTCCTTCATCTGCCTTAATCTGAAAGCCCTGAGTGGTATTCCATTGTCTGAATACACAGTCATTTATTTAACTACTTCCTCACTGATATGTGGAGGTTGCTTCATGTTTCAGTTTAGTCTTTTTCTGTTAAAAAAAAAAAGGCTGGACCAGAAGTGGTGGCTCACACCTGCAATCCCAGCATTTTGGAAAGTGGAAGCCGGGCTCGGTGGTTCAGCCTGTAATCCCGTGTCTTTGGGAGGCTGAGGTGAGTGGATTGCCTGAGCCCACGGGTTCGAGACCCACCTGGGCAGCGAGACCTCATCTTTATAATAAATCAAAAAATCAGCCAGGCGTGGTAGCGCATGCCTGTAATTCCGGCTACTCAGAAGGCTGAGGCGGAAGGATCGCCGGAGCCCAGCAGGTCGAGGCTGCGGTGGCCGGGAGCGACCATGGCACTCCAGTCTGGGCAACAGAGCGAGACTCCAACTCAAAAAAAAAAAAAAATGAAAGTGGAGGTGGGAGGATTGCTTGAGCCCAGGAGTTTGAGACCAGCCTAGGCAACATAGCAAGACCCCCCTTCTAAAAAATAAATAAATGAATAAATATTCAACTGGGTGTGGTAATGCATGCCTGTGGTCCTAGCAACTAGGGAGGCTGAGGCAGAAAGACCGCCTGAGCCCAGGAGGTTGAGGCTGTGGTGAGCCGTGATCCTGCCACTGCACGCCAGCCAGGGTGACCCCAGCTCAAAAACAAAAAACCAAAACAAAACAAAAAAACAATGCTGGGCCGGATGTGGTGGTTCATGCCTGTAACCCCAGCATTTTGGGAGGCCGTGGTGGGAGGATTGCTTGAGCCCAGGAATTTGAGACCAGCCTAGGCAACATAGCAAGGCCTTGTCTCTACAACAAAAAATCAAAAATTAAGCCGGGTGTGATGGCCAGCTACTAGGGAGGCTGAGGCGGAAGGATGGCCTGAGCCCAGGAGGTTGAGGCTGTGGTGAGCCATGATCATGCCACTGCATGCCAGCCTGGGTGACCCCAGCTCAAAAACAAGAAAAACAACAACAATAACAAAAATACAATGCTGGAGTGAATCTTCTTGTTCATATATTTTATGTATTTGTGCAAATATACCCACAGGACAGATGGAATACTGAGGCAAAGAACTTGCAGGTTTTAATTCAAATTGGTGTTGCTACCCTTATTTTATTTTATTCTGTTTTTTTTTTGTTGTTTTTTTTTTTGTTGAGTTGGAGTCTCACTCTATAACCCAGACCGGAGTGCAATGGCACGCTCACAGCCACTGCAGCCTCAACCTCCTCAGCTCAGGTGATCCTTCCATTTCAGCCTTCCAAGTAGCTGGAACTACAGGCACACACCACCATGCCCGGCTAATTTTTTGATTTATTGTGGAGACACAGTCTCGCCAAGTTGCCCAGGCTGGTCTCGAACCCCTGGACTCAGGCAATCCTCTCACTTCGGGATGACAGGCGTGAACCACCATGCCCTGCCGCTACACTCATTTTAAAACTAAGTAGCCACCACGTTGTTCCAAGGCAGTGAAGTAACTCACACGTGGAAACTGGGATGTCTTCTGCGACTGTTTGCTGTTTGTTCGTTCAGGTTTATGTTTCTGAACTACGTGAAGTTGCCTGTACTAACCGGAGGCTGATCTCTTGGGGGGTTTAGGTTCCTGGGAAGGCACTCGACCGGCCTGGGAAGAAGTTCCTTCCCCCCTGAACCCAACCACGTCCCTCAGCGCTATCATTAGAACCCCCAAGTGTTACCATATCTCGTCGCTGAACGAAAACGCCGCCAAACGTCTGTGTCGCAGGTATTCCCAGAAACTGATCCGGCACACGGCCTGCCAGCTGCTGAGAACCTACCCGGCCGCCACCCGCATCGACTCCTCCAACCCGAACCCCCTCATCTTCTGGCTCCATGGGATACAGCTCGTGGCACTCAACTACCAGACCGACGGTAGGGGCCTGGGGTGCTCGCCCCCTCCCGTGCACCTCCCGTGGCCGTCCCTGTGGTTCGAGGAACAACATGTTTTCAAAGGGCCAAGGCTCCAGACTGGCGCAGGCCGTATGTGAGGGTAAAAAAACAGAGGCTGCAAAGCAGAAGTGATTTTGATACTGAATTGCATCCCTGATGCTTCAGACTTAAGGTGTTAGAAAACAATCTCAAGAGGGGCCTAAAAATATCTCCTTGGTCCTGTCCTTCTCATACTTTTTTTTTTTTAAGAGAAAGGGTTTTGCTTTGTTACCCAGGCTGGAGTGCAGTGGCGTGATCATGGCTCACTGCAGCCTCAACCTCCTGAGCTCAAGTGATCCTTCTGCCTCAGCCTCCCAAGTAGCTGGGACTACAGGCATGTGCCACCATGCCCAGTTATTTTTTTAAATTTTTTTGTAGAGATGGGGCCTCACTATGTTACCCAGGCTGGTCTCAAACTCCTAAGCTCAAGTGATCCTCCTGCCTCTCAGCCTGCCAAATTGCAGGGATTATAGATGTGAACTACCATGCCACGCCCTGTCCCTTTTTAAAAAGCACTTTCAAATACCAGACTGCTCTTTTTTTTTTTTTTTAGTTGGAGACTCACTCTGTCACCCAGACTGGAGTGCAGCGGCTGCTCCCGGCCACCGCAGCCTCTACTTGCTGGGCTCCGGCGATCCTTCCGTCTCAGCCTTCCGAGTAGCCGGAATTACAGGCATGCGCTACCATGCCCGACTGATTTTTTGATTTATTGTAGAGATGAGGTCTTGCTGCCCAGGTGGGTCTCGAACCCGCGGGCTCAGGCAATCCACTCACCTCAGCCTCCCAAAGGCTTGGGATTACAGGCTGAGGCACCGAGCCCGGCTTTTTTTTTTTTTTTTTTGAGTTGGAGTCTCACTCTGTTGCCCAGACAGGAGTGCAGTGGCACACTCCCAGCCACCACAGCCTCCACCTGCTGGGCTCAGGTGATCCTTCCACCGCAGTCTTCCTTCCAAGTAGCCGGAACTACAGATGTACACTACCACACCCAGCTAATTTTTGATTTATTGTAGAAATGAGGTCTCACCAAGTTGCCTGGGCTGGTCTTGAACCTGTGGGCTCAGGCAATCCACTCTCCTTGCCCTCCCAAAGTGCTGGGATTATAGGCTGCGCCACCAAACCCGTCCCCAGTCTGCTCTTGACAGCTGTGGCCAGTTTATTTTTAAAGATCTTTGGGGGCAGGAATTTCCTAACACTGCTCCGTTAACCTGTCTCACTCTGCAAGTGTTCTTGCAGTCAAAAAGGAGTGTGCTCCAATCACTCTGAAATTAAAACCATTGCAGCTTCTTCTCGTCCTTTTGAAAGGGGGATGTAGAGTAAGAATTAGTGGTCTAAGAGTAGGTAACAAAAGGAAAACAAGTGTATGGGTGACGTGAACAAGCAGTGTTCACGTTTCTCCACTGTCAATGAGGCTCGGGTATGAGGCCAAAGACTCCAAAGTAAAAGTTCCCATCAACTGAGTGCTCACCTCACATCAGGCACGATCACATTCTTGAGCCCCTATTATCTTATTTAATCTTTACAATGCTTACAATCCCTACTTCTCAGATGAGCAAAGGAAGGGGCAAAGCAATTTGCTCAAGATTGCAGGATGACTTACAACAATGAATTCAAAGAACCTAGGAGTTTAGAGGATAAAGTGTTTTGTTTCCACTCGGTTGGGGGGGGGACCCGACCATAGAAGGTAAGGAAATAGAAGATAAGGAATGTTTCCAGAAGCTCATTCTAAAGCTGTGACCTCCCCAATGCGGTGACTCACACTTGTCATCCCAGCACTTTGGGAGGTGAAGGCAAGAGGATTGCCTGAGTCCAGGGGTTCAAGACCAGCCTGGGCAACTTGGCGAGACCTTGTCTCTACAATAAATCAAAAAATGAGCCAGGCGTGGTGGTGCACGCCTATGGTTTCAGCTTCTTAGATGGGTGAGGTAGAAGGATAGCCAGAGCCCAGCAGGTTGAGGCTGTGGTGGCCATGAGCATGCCACTGCACTCCAGCCTGGCCAACAGAGTGAGACTCCTACTAAAAAAAAAAAAAAAAAAAAAAGCCACTGTCTTTCCTTTGAATGGTCAGGCTAACCAGGCTGAACCAAAACAACAGCACAGCCCTGTCACCAGCTGAGAACAAGTCACAGCGTTAGCTCTGGAGCCAGCTAGCTACCTGGCATGGCTACTGACCCCAAAGATGTATGGTTAGAGATATTGGTCATGTTTTTTGCTCTTGTTATATTTGCTTCCTTCTGTTAAATAAGATTGTGCCGGTGAAATACGATAGTTAACCTTTAGCCCAGTGCCAGGCATATAGGAAGCATTCCACAGATGTTAACCATCCCTAAGTGTCTTTGATAAGTTATGAAAACAGTATGATTTGGACTCCCCAATGGAAATCATAGTGAAAGACTTGCAAAGATGTAAGAGTTTTCTTTGCCATTTCCTCTTCATTCTCTCCCGAGTAACTCTCTGCCCCTGCCTCTGGCCTTGTGTATACCAGTGCCCGTGGTTACTATGATACTGACATGTTTTAAGTGACCTGGAGTCATCATCAAAAGATTTTCCCAAGGAAATGGAAATGCGTTTGGTTTGGGACATGCCCTTTCTCCAGAAGTGCCAAGACTGGTGCAGACACTCTGGCTCCACGGATGGCAAAGAGAGCCATAGCTGAAGGGATCACAGGCAGGTGCCATTCCTCAGGTCACCTTGCAGTCCAGCAGCACAGACTAAAGCCGCAGCTTGTCCTCCAATCACCCCTAAAGGCCTTGCCTCTCTTCCCCCCCCTTTTTTTGAGGTGGGGTCTCACTCTGCCGCCCAGGTTGGAGTGCAGTGGTACGATCACAGCTCAGCCTCCTGGGCTCAGCAGTCCTTCTGCCTCAACCTCCCAAGTAGCTGGGGGACTACCAGGGTGTGCCACCACAGCTGGCTAATTTTTTTATTTTTTGTAGAGACAAGGTCTCGCTTTGTTGCCTAGGCTGGTTTCGAACTCCTGGGCTCAAGCAATCCTCTCGCCTCGGCCTCTCAACGCGCTGGGATTACTGTGACACCCAGCCTTCGCCTCTGTCTCTCAAATGAAACCAGGAGTATGTATGTGTTTAAGCTGCCCCATGCAAGGGAGGTAGACGACTGGGTTGCATGGGTCATTTCAAGTTTCTCTACATAATCTTCCAAACTGAGAAGGAATGCTATCCTGTAACTTCGCTCCATTCACTGCAGGAAGCAGTGATTAGACATCTCCCCATGCTGAGCAAAGCACAAGCTACATGATACTTCAGTGTGTTCATCTGTCAAAAATGATCTTCAATTCTGCAAACTAGAATAGAGCCTGGTGTGATGCCTTGCACACAGTAGATGCTCAATAAATGCTTGCTGCCTTGAGCTAAGACAGATTATCCCTATCAGCCCCACTGCAATATGAACCTGTGGGTCTTGATTTTTGGTCAAGATCTCTTGCGGGTACTTCCCTGTGAATTGCAATTCCAGATAGATCAGTCAACACTGGAATTGCCATTTTTTTAATTGTTGGAAAGAATTCCCAGGTTAGGAAGTGCTTCACTTTCCATGAAGCCTCCCAACCACATAGCAGAGAGCCCCTCCTAATGTCCTTCTAGCCTCCCAGGATGTCTCATGGATCATCTGCCTTGCTAATTCTGGATCTCAGGCAACCCTAACTCCCCAAAGAGGTGCCCATGGACTTGAGGCTATCTCTTCCCAAGCTTTCTGCTGGCTGAAAGTCCAAGAAGGTCTGAAGTGGCCTGGAATCAGGAGTATCCCAGGTCTATACTCAATAAAAACCAGTTCTTGCTTTTGAAAACTGACAGCAGCCGGTATGCAAACCCCTGGGTATTGTTGGCAAGGATCCCTCTAAGTTCTTTCCATCTGGGGCAGAACGGATTCCTGCGTCATATACCAGGACTTACCATGTGTAAACAAGCAACACCAATCAAAAGAAAAGACTCTTTTTTTTTTTTTTTAGATTAGAAAAGAAAGTTTATTTGGAAAGTAGTTTAGAAAAGAGTGAATTTACTTCTCAAGGGAGAGAAGGACCCAGCCGCTTGAAGGAAGTGTGGCCAAAAAGCCTCTTTTTTAAAGGCATGTGTTATGCTTTCTTTAATGAAAGCATAACTTTGTATGATGACTTTTCCAACCCCCAAATATGGGATAAATATAATGAAGATAGTGCCTGCTTAATACAGGGAATTTTAATGAATAGAAGACCATAATGGCAATGGTGTGCTGGTATGTTTGATCTACTGTTGTGTGCATTGATTCAGAGAGTAGCAAGGTGACAATGATGTATGCACACTCTTTACTCTTTCTCTTGGTTAAATTGGTGGTTTTCAAACTGTATGAAGTTCAGAAACCACCCCCAGGGGACAGCAAGAGTACTAGCTATAAGGTCCCACCTTTCTTTATTTTTATTTCTTTATTTTTTTTGAGTTGGAGTCTCTCTCTGTTGCCCAGGCTGGAGTGCAGTAGCATGCTCACAGCCACCCCAGCATTGACACACAGGGCTCCCAACAATCCTTCCGCCTCAGTCTTCCAAGTAGCTGGAACTACAGGCATGTGCTATAATGCCCGGCTAATTTAATTTTTATTTATTTATTTATTGTAGAGATGAAGTCTCGCCAAGTTGCTCGGGCTGGTCTTGAGCCCTCAGGCTCAGGCAATCCACTTGCCTTGGCCTCCCAAGGTGCTGGGATGACAGGATGGGTCACCAAGCCCAGCAATTTCACTTTTATTTCAAACTGAGCAGTTGCCTGTGGATAAGTTTTACATACTGGGTCACCAAATGAGATCTTGGTGAAGAAAAAATGCTATGAGGATAAACAGAGTGCTACTGAAATCAGACTTCAAACTCAAATGAAGTTGATATCATAGTCATGTTATTACTGTTTATCCAGCACCTCCTATGTGCCAAATCTCATGAATTATTACAGCACTCCTGTGAGATGTGCATTACCTGGTTCCATGACTCAGACTGAGAACTACGGGTCAGGCCATCTGGGTTTGAATTATAGCATCCACCCCTTACTAGCTACGTGCCTTGGATGTTTTCACTTCTTTGTGCCTTCGTTTCCTCATCAATAGAAACGGAGATACAGGAAGTCCCCAACACACGAATGACTTCCGTTTCAAGAGTGTATCTGTAAGTCCAATTTGTTTAATTCACCAAAATTAGCCTATGTGCCCAAGTAACACAATTGACTATATAGCACTGTATGTATTTAACAGGCTATACTGACACCTGCTCGAGAGGAATAATACATGTGAAAATGCAGGTGTATGTCGTTAAAGTTCGTAACTTGAAGGTTCGTATGTAGGGGATTTGCTGTACTAAAGGAATCTGCTTGGTGGCTTATTGGGAGGCACTTGAGGCACATAAAGTGTTTAGAACAATGTCCAGTCCTTGGAAAGAGCACAATACTTGTGAGCGGCCATTGTTGTTGTTGGTAATCAACAGAGAGTGCCAGAAAAAGTATATAGAATATACCTTTCAAGAAAGGAAGAAAAACTGTATTAAAATTGTAGATGAATACAAGTCAGCTTTGACTTCTGCAATTACAAGAGGTGCTCCAAGTGGTAACCGTCAGCATCCAGACACTGCTGATTACGGCAAACTAAAAGTAATACATAGATGACATCTCTTAAAATGTGTATATAGGCCAGCCCTGGTGACTCAGCCTGTAATCCCAGCACTTTGGGAGGCTGAGGTGAGAGGACTGCCTGAGCCTGGGGGTTTGAGACCAGCCCAGGCAACATGGTGAGACCTCATCTCTACAATAAATCACACACACACAAAAAAAATTATCCAGGCGTGGTGGCACGCACCTGTAGTTCCAGCTACTTGGAAGGCTGAGACTGAAGAATCGCCTGAGCCTAGCAGGTGGAGGCTGCAGTGGCCGTGAGTGTGCCATTGCACTCCAGCCTGGGTGATAGAGTGAGACTCCTACTCAAAAAAAAAAAAGTATATATATGTTATTGGCACTCCCAGTATGTCCATTTCACATGTGTGACCCCACGGGAGCTGGTTGGCTTTCCTCTCTGAGCCTTCCTCACCTAGTCTGTTCCTCTATCAACGTGGCCTCAAGGAACAAATCACAGCAGGACCGGGACATCCTCAGGGATGGGGGGAGTACTCTGTGCTGATGTTACAGATAAGGAGGTGAAGGCCCAAAGAGCTTTCAAATGTCTAAGACATCTGACCCTAGAAGTTCCTGCACATATCCTGGCCAATGCCATCTACACGGAATCATTTTCACACACGAGACCAGCAACTTCTCGTTGCTCCAAGTGCCTACCAGGCTTTGCCTTGATGTGGTCCACGTAGCAAAGTTAAGTCTGCACATGGAAGGGATCTGTCAGAGGGGACATTCGTCGGGTGTGTCTCATAAACAATCTGCTCATTCAGGCACCTCTTCTACATAGAGACTTGCGCCATTCAGGTGGACACTTGAGTCTGAAAGAGCCCAGAAACAGCGCGGGAATGCAGTCATTCACCAAAGGACCCTGCCAAATAAAATTTGGCCACAAAAGACTCAGGCCTTGTGAGGGTCCCTGATATTATGATTGAGAAGGTTGTGGACATTGTGGGAATCAGATGTGATGATGATTTTTTTTCCATATTTAATGACTGTAGCTATTTTGAATATTTAATACAATTTTTTTTAAAAAAGAAGTCATTGGATTTGAGATTTCAAGGAGAAGCGTGTTTTTCTGGCTATTCTCCTATCTTTTTTGTATAATTAAAATTTTGTCTTACTTTTAAAAGAGCAAGAATTGGGCCTGGCGCAGTGGCTCAGCCTGTAATCCCAGAGCTTTGGGAGACCGAGGCAAGAGGATTGCCTGAGCCTGGGGGTGTGAGATCAGCCTAGGCAACTCGGTGAGCCCTCGTCTCTACAAGAAATCACAAAAACTAGCCAGGCATGATGGCATGCAGCTGTAGTTCCAGCTATCTGGAAGGCTGAGGTGGAAGGATCACCTGAGCCCAGCAGGTCAAGGCTACAGTAGCCATGAGCGTGCCACTACACTCCAGCCTGGGTAACAGAGTAAGACTCCAACTCAAAAAAAAAGAAAGAAATAGTAAGAATTGGTTATACAGGTGTCTGCATGGTTCAGTGTTTGGAAATGAGAAAATGCCATTATCCCTTTTCAAAATTCAGTATGAAATGAGGTACAGTTAACCCTCTGTGTCCTCAGCTTCCACATCTGTGGATTCAACCCATTGTGTATTGAAAATACTCAGAAAAAAATAATGGACGTTTGCATCTATACTGAATATGTAAAGACGATTTTCTTGTTATTATTCCCTAAACGAGGGGTCCCTAACACATGGGGACCCCTGCTACCAGTCTGTAGCCTGTTAGGAACTGGGCGGGAACAGCAAGAGGTGAGCGGACCAGCAGAGCTCCAGCTGCTGTCAGAACAGCTGCGGCATTATTTCTCACGAACCCTATGGCGAACTGTGCATGTGAGGAGTCCAGGTTGCGCACACCCCTCTGCCTTGGTCTGTGGAAAAAATTGTCTTCCATGAAACTGGTCCCTGATGCCACAAAGACTGGGGACCGCTGCCCTAAACAATACAGCATAACAACTATTTACATAAATGTTACACTGGATTAAGTGTTATAAGCAATCTAGAGATGATTTAAAGTATACAGGAGGATGTGCATAGATGATACGCAAATACTACACCATGTATGTAAGGAATTTGAGCATCCGTGGATTTTGGTAACCACAGGAGCCCCTGGAACCAACCCACCCAGGGATACTGTGGGTTGACTGTATACCATAAGATTTTTCAGGTGAATGGGGTAAATGTTTATTTGTGAAAGGAGTTTTAAAGTGGCAGAACGAGGTTTGAGTGGTAACACTGGGTAGACCCATAGACTGTAAGCCCCATGAGGACAGGATTTTTATCTCATTACCTGGTGTCTCTGGTGGCTAACACAACCTGGCACATAGTAGGAGCTCACCAATCTATGGGATGAATGGATAATTATCTCTTCTTCATGCTGGGGCTTAAGGAAAATGGATGCAAAGTTCTTTTGAACTTTATAGTAAATGTAGGCCAGACATGGTGGCTCACGCCTGCAATCCCAGGAACTTTGGAAAGCTGAGGCAGGAGGATCACTTGAGGTTGAGAGTTCGAGACCAGCCTGGATAACACAGTGAGACAACATCACTACATAAAATTTAAAAATTAGCCAGGCATAGTGACGCACACCTGTAGTCCCATTTACTCAAGAAACTGAGGCAGGAGTTCAAGACATCAGTGAGCTATGATCATACCACTGCACTCCACCCTGGCAACAGAGGCAGATCCTGTCTCTTGAAAATAAAGAAATAGTCCGGGCTTGATGACTCAGCCTGTAATCCCAGCACTTTAGGAGACTGAGGCGAGTGGATTGCCTGAGCCCACGGGTTTGAGACCAGCCCGAGAAACTTGACGAGAACTTATCTCTACAATAAATCAAAAATTAGCTGGGTGTGGTAATGCACACTTGTCCTTCCAGCTACTTGGAAGGCTGAAGCGAAAGGATCTCCAGAGGCCAGCAGGTTGAGCCATGAGCGTGTGTGCCACTGCACTCCAGTCTAGGCGACAGAGTAAGACTCCAACTCCAAAAAAAAGAAAAGAAAAGATAGAAATAATACATAAATGTATAAGATGACACTTAAGAGGCAAAGGAATCAACAATGTTGACTTTGTTTGTCTGTCTGTTTTGTAGACCTCCCTTTACATTTAAATGCTGCCATGTTCGAGGCAAATGGTGGCTGTGGTTACGTGTTGAAGCCCCCAGTTCTGTGGGACAAGAACTGTCCCATGTATCAGAAGTTTTCTCCACTGGAAAGAGACCTGGACACCATGGACCCTGCAGTCTACTCTTTAACTGTAAGTATGGCCCCTGCTGTAAGAATAGAGGGAGAGGCTTAAGCCTTTATGAGTGTGAACTGGTCTTGAATTAAAGGCATGGCAAAACTACCATGTCACAATTTTGGTTGTGCATATTTAGTTCCCAAAGTAATCTCTTTATCTCCCAGAAAGCAGTGGCTATGGGTAGGTATGCTGTCACCAGACACTGTGTTTGCTGAAGCCCAGTAGGCAAAGTTATGAATTATGCTTCTCCTGATGTCCTGATAATGGCAGTTCTGTCTCCGGGGTCCCAGAATCATAAGCATAGCCCATTAATGTTAAGCTCCAGTGGGCTCATGCCTGTAGTCCTAGCTACTGGAGAGGCTGAAGTGGGAGGATCTCTTGGGCCCAGGAGCTGGAGACTGCAGTGAACCATGACCACACCACTGCACTCCAGCCCAGGCAACAGAGCCAGACCTTGTCTCAAAAAAAAAAAGTTGAGCTACTTGTTAGATCAGCTCATCTTAAGCTCCAGTAAGCTCTAAGATCAGACAAACTGGAATCAGTATACAAATACAATTAGTATCTTTCCTCCGTATAATTTAAGCTATATCATTCCTGGGCCTTTTTCCTTATTCCTTTGACCACCTGATTAACTGACTGTCAAAATTCCACAGACTCCTCTTAAAAACAGAGACCCAGGAGCTCTCCAGTCTGCTTGACTTCCCTGTTCCTCTGCCCTCTCCTAGCTAGCAGGGAAAAAAACTGGGTGGGGATGGGAAGGAGGTAGAGAAGGAATCCTCTCTTTCCACCCAGAGAACTTGCCTTTCCCTCCACGGGAAGCTGCCAGGCAGCCCTCCAACCCCTGGGATAACCCCGTTCACAGATTTTCCGACCACTCCAATGACTTTTTCTCTTTCCCTAAGGCAGTAGGGCAGAAGCCTCTTCTTCGTTTGGTCATTTTAGCTAAAGGCGAGTGTGGCTTTATCTGTTTATAGAAAGTTGTGCGTTAATTTTTAACAGCATGTCTGTGATCTGCTCCAGCACACACCATTTAAGAAAAAGCCTTTGAAGTTTTAAAATATACTCCCAAGGCATTTTGAACAGAATAATATAACAAATTTGTGGTTCCGTGACAAAAGGTCTTCTCGTCTTCTTGCCTTCTGTGAGAAACCTAACTTCATCTCTTTTTTTTGAGTTGGAGTCTCACTCCTTCACCCAGGCTGGAGTGCAGTGGCATGCATGCTCACAGCCACCCCAG